GTCAATGTCATTCTTTATGGTGGATGCACAGAATCCCCCTATGACCCAGCAATCCCACTTTTGGGCATTTCTCCAAACAATCACAACCAAGGCCATACAAAGGCTACTAGTACAACTTTGTTTATTACAGCATTATTTACCATAGCTAAGATTTGGAACCAACCTAGATGTCTCTCAATTGATGAATGGATCAAGAAAATGTGATATACATATATCTATATATATACATATATAGATATGTATGTATGTATGTATACATATATATTATGGAATTCATCAGAAAAATGACAGCGTTTTGCTTATGAATTTTATTTATAGTTTTCTTAGTCTCTGTATTGTTAATTTCAGCTCTAATGTGGTTATCTTGCTCTATCTTGTAAATTTAGGTTCAGGTTTTTCATGCTGTTCTAGTAGTTTTAATTGCAACCTGAGATTAATTACTTGGTCTTTCTCTATTTTTTTGATGATGTGAGAGGAATAAATTTGCCCCTCAAGACTGCTTTTGCCAGGTCTCATAGGTTTGTTCATGATGTATATTCATTTTCATTGAATAGTAGGTACTTTTTTAAATAAATAAGTTTTTATTGTCAGAATACAGTACAAAGCAGGTGTTAGAGTTACATGAGCAGGATAATGAGTACATTTCTTCTCAAGCATGGTTGACTTTTCCTTTGTTTTACCCCTATCATTACTTTTCTCCCATCGCCACAAATGTACTCCACCATACCCCCCAAACCCACACCCGGCCTAAATTGTAATGTTCATTTTTCGACACAGAGTGGAAAAATAAAAAAAAAAAAACGTTGTTTCAATGGGTCAACCTGTATACCTGTTTTAAAATTTTGTTTTTTCAGTTCCCCTCTCCAAATTATATAAACAATAAACACAGTGAAAACAGGTTATAACCCACCTCCTCACATCCTATCCAAGTTCTTCTCTCAATATTACTTTGTTAAACTTGCATAATTTTTAAGTGTATCTCCTTTTTAATTTTAAATTTTTGTTTTTCAATTTTTTTCTTCTTTCTTTTTTTTTTGTGTTTCTCTTTCTCCTCTCATTCTATCCAATCCATTTCCAACTCTTTGAAATTAAGACTTGGTTAATTTCACTATCTTTTTACCTTTCCACAACCCTCTCACCCCATTTTTCCCCACATTTCTCCTTAAACCTAATAATTTCTGGTATGCCAAATCATTTTTTGTTGTTCTTAGCCCATTAATACATAGTTGTTTGATGTTCAATAGACTGTATCTGTTGCACTACATTGTATCTGTAGCCTTTGACTGTGCAATTACAGGACTTTGTTGATGTTTTCCTTAAAATAGTGTTCTAGCACAAAACTGGTGTTACTTTCAAACCAAATGAGCAGAACAAGCCAGAAAACACAAGAAAAATGGTAAGTCCAGGTATCTCGACTCCCACTCATGATAATCAGATGACTGAACAGATAATGAATAATCCAGAGGAGAGCTCCTAAAAAGCTCTATATACACTACTGGCAAACATGGTGAATGAAAAGTCTGAAAACCTTGCAAAGTACTCAGTGTGAGAATGATAGGGAGAGAGAGGAGGAAAACCAAAGATTAATACAGGAAACCAATGAGTATGAGGAAGCTACTCAAAGATTGATACAGGAATTGAATGAGCAGGCTGAGATTAATCAAAGAGATAGAAAGGAATTGTGTGAGCTGGCTGAGAACAGACAAAGAGAAAGTCAGGAATGGGGTGAGCAGGCTGAGAACACTCAAAGAGAACTACGGGGATTGGGTGAACATGAGGAAGATAATCAAAGAGTAATTCAGGAATTGAGAGAGCAGGATGAGAATAGACAAAGATCAATAGAGGTATTCATGGAATCCATTAAACACAGCTGAAATAACTCAGGGAGACCACAAAGGGCATGCTGAATGGAGCCCAACAGAAGGAATGGGAGTACAAACAAACCATAACCACATAATAAAAGAGAGTAAACACTGAACAACAAAATAAGGAAGTAAAAAAGTTCATAGCAGATCTAAAACAAAGCACCAACAAAGAATTTGAAGCCATTGAAGCCAACCGATTAGAAGGAAAATTAATTAAAAAAAAAAACAAAGTAGAAAGATATGACAGTAGGTTAGACCATGCAGAAGATCGAATCTTGAGGATTGAAGTCAGCCTAGCTATAATAGAGAAAGAACACACATCTATGGAAGACAAGTCAAAGAAATATGATAGATCTATTCAACACTTGGAACAAATCATCAGAAGGTCTAATCTGAGCATAATGTGTGTAGAGGAGCACCTGAAAAGAAATGAAACAGAAAGAAAGGAAGGAAAGAGGGGGAGGATTGGGTCGGGGTTCGGTGGGGAGGATGGGAAGGGATGCGGAGGTGAAACAAAGGAGGAGGCTACAATGCTTGATAAGAATTGTACTCATTATCTTGCCCATGTAATTGTAACACCTCTGTACAGTATTGTAACAATAAAAAAGGAAGGAAAGGAGCAAGGAAGGAAGAGGGAATAAGGAAAGAGAAAAGTAACAGAATGGACTCCAGAAACATAACTGTCTTTTCATAGATTTTATAAAACCAAGAGTACTTGAGATAATACCATATAAATACCTTAGTATTTCCATTTATTGGTAAATATTTTCCATTAAATGTATTATTAATAAATTGTCTGTTTTATAACTTCAATGTCAACAGATGCTTTTAAATTACCTATAAAATTTAAGCCACCTGACAAATATAGGGGAGAACTAAAATTATTTCTTTGTCAGTGGAAGGCCTCTGCACTTGTGATATGGTACAGGAAAAAGCAGTGTGGTAATGGAAGTTTACTAAAAATATACACATTCATATAAACTAAAATATTTATGAAAACCTAAAACAAGCAAAGGTCACTTGTTTACATAGTTAAACTTGAAAATTTGCAAGCCTAATAAGGCCTACAAGAAATTTTTATACAGCAATAACTTTTTTGTTTAAATTTTAATTTTTTGTTTTCTTAATCTCAAAATATATTCTCAGCTACTTATTTTTATTTCTGTTTTTCATCTAGCATTTGCTAAAACAATTCACTAAATTATTGTTAATTACAAATTATTTCAGCAGCAAAGAAGTAAAAGATTCTTCAAAAAACTCCTACTAAGTACAAAGCTTAACAAAACAGAAGATTATTTTAAGCAGACAAACCAAAAAGTTACCTCACCAAAAACAAACAAAAATCATGAACTCAAAAAGCAAAAGCCATCATTGATAATCTCACAGTGCTTCTGGGAAAACAGTCATCTACAATATTCAGGACCACAACAAGAAAGTAAGTTTCCTTAGGGAGCTCCAAAATAGAATGAGCACTTCCCATTCTCATTCAAACTACAACAGAAATTTCCAAATACACCCATTTTTCTCAGCTTCTCAGAGTCTTAGAAACTAGTATCCAAAGCACAGTAACTGTGATATTTTTTGGTCAAGTCTTTCAACGACAACATCAGTTTTGTTTCAGGAAAGAGCCTTAAAAGGCTGACAAGTCACAAATGAAAGGAAACAATGGAACAACAAGGCCACGGATACAAGCAGCAAACCTTACTAGAGGGACAAATTTTTAATTCATAGGATACAAACCATTCCATTTTCTAGTCCCTCACTAATAGCAAAGGCTGTTGGCCCTGATTAAAAGGAATGGGAAGACTTAGAAAACATTATATTAAATGAAGTAAGCCAGGCACAAAGAAACATAGGTCCCAATGTTTCCCTTATTTACATTAACTTGTAAATGATGGAGACAAGCAGAAATGGTCAGATAAGTTGATGTTAGGTGAAATGAACCCCAGGATAAATATTTAAATGGTTTTTTCTGTCTTGTGATTGTTTCTAACATATTTATAAGATGATTTCTTTGTTGCTTTGTATGTCCCTCCTGCATGGTTTAACCCCTGCTTTCACTGTATTTCATGTTGGTATATTTTGTGGAGGGGAAGAGAAAATAGAAATCGTTCAAATAGGGATACAGGTGAACCCATTGCAACAATGAGATGTGCAAGTTGTAATGTCCACAAACGAACTTTACAACATTGGCCTTAAAGAAGGGTGGTGGGGGAGAGAATGGGAAGGGGAAACAAGGAGGAGGCAACAATGCTTGATAAGAAATGTACTCATTGCCTTGCCCATGTAAATATAAATCCTCTGTACACATTTTTACAATAAAAAAAGAAAGTCACTGGGAGGGAGAAGTAGGGGAGGTGAGAGAGGGAAGTGATAGTAAGGAAAAAAACAACAAAGGAAGGGGTAACAATCTTCAAAAAAATGTACTCATTGGTTTACTCATATACAGCATCTTTACCGTGAAATAATTTTTTTTTAAAAAAGGAAAAATCCTAACAGAAATCTAGGCTTGAAAATAGCAGAGAGGATCTTGGTTCTCACATTTCATGCAGATCTGATGATACATGAGAAAAATCTTGAGTGTTTCACATCCAGACAATGAGCTTCCATAATATCCCTATATTATCAACTGAGTTCTGAATTATGTCTGATGTATTTTTGAATTAAGAGGTATACTACACAATGGTAGATGGATAGATATAGATTTAGATAGGTAGATAGATTGATGGAAAGATAGAGATGTTAAATGAATAGAGATATTAAACAAATTAAAAATATCCACAAATTCTATTCTTTCTATATCTTCACTTCTCTGCATGTTCTAAATATAAAGCACAAAATTATTGCTTTACTCTTCTCTCTTTCAATTGTCATGACACAAAGATTGAAAAACTCAAGTGAAATGGTCATCATCCCTGAATGCAACAAGTGATCTATTCAAAGGACAGTAGACTCATCACAGCTTCTGCTGAATGGATGAAACATATTCTCTGGGCTAAACTATGTGGGCACAGAGGAAATATTAGGATTTTCTGAGATGCGCTGGTCCTATAGCTGTTCCAAGCTTTACCCAGCTTTGCTGATTTGCATATGCTCAGAGCACAGCCTACTGCCCCAATGACTTCATAATAGGCTGCTCACACCCTGTGCAGCAGTCAGTCCCAGTCAGCACACAACATGGACATGAGAACCTATGCTCAGCTCCTGGGACTCCTCCTGCTCTGGCTCCCAGGTAAGGAAGGACAGCACTCCTTCCATATCTTGTGTTCTGTGATGCCTGGGTCTTCAGGGAAGGCCTCCTATAACATGACTAACAGTGTAGATGTTTGTGTTTATGTTTCCAATGGCAGGTTTCAGATGTGACATCTAGAGATGACCCAGTCTCCATCCTTCCTGTCTGCATCTCCAGGAGACAGAGTCTCCATCACTTGCCATGCCAGTCAGGGCATTAACTATTATTTAAACTGGTAACAGCAGAAAACAGGGAATGCTCCAAAGCTTCTGATCTATAATGCAAAGAATTTAGCCTCTGGAATTCCATCAAGGTTCAGTGGGAGTCAATCGGGGACAGAGTTCACTCTCACCATCAACAGCCTGCAGCCTGAAGATTTTGCCACTTATTACTGTCTACAGCATTATAGTTTACCTCCAAAAGCCGGGGTGAGCAGCTTTTCCTCTTACCTGCCCCAACTGCCTGTCCTGGGGAATTCTCCCGGCCTCACTTCTGATCACATGTCAGCCTGCTTATGTGAAGAATTATACAAGTCTCTCCATTTCACCAAATCTCATCAAAGGATGACCTAATGATGAAGTCTTCAGGAAAGAAGGGAAGGAACAGGGAGTTGAGCTTCCACACACAATCATAATGATCATGATGTATTGAGATAGCTGACTGTCAACAATAGTCAGTTTCCCCCAACTGTCAGAAATATTCCACCTAAGTGACTATGGAAATACATTGAGTAGCTCTGTCTTCTTTACTCTAAAAGCGATATTTTTCTATAATTTTCTATAATATCTATAATTTTTCTAGAATTTGGAGGAGACAATCTTGTATAATTTTGTAATTGAGGATATGATAGTAAATATTTGAATGTTTAAATCAATCTGATGGTGAAAATATTAAAATATCTCACCACTTTCTATGATACTTATCATCCATTTTTTACATATGTTTCAAACCACTTTGGTATTTTTTCATTATTTCTGTCTTCCTTAGACACTAATAGCTTTTGCATACTGTGAATAGATGTTGAATTTTAGAAGTATTTTAAGATACTCATATATATTGTTTCTAATCATGTTAGGATTGTGAATTTTACATATAAACCTACTGTATTAAAATCAATACAAGTGGAGCTGATGCTCCACTGGTAGAGTACAAGCTGAGGGACAACACCCAGTCCCATAGTTCAAGACCCACTTCCAACAACAGCAGTAAAAAATACAATCATGGAGTTAGGCACATGTGGCTCAGATCTGTAATCCAAGCTACTTAGGAGGCTGAGATTTGAGGATCACAGTTTAAAGCCAGTCCAGGCAGGAAAGTCCAGGAGACTCTTATCAAAATAAACCAGAGTACAGGAAGTGGTAGAGTGCTTGCCTTAAGCAGAAGAGCTGAAGAACATAGGAACAGTGCCCAGGCCAAGGGTTCAAGCCCCACAACAAACAAAAATAATACAATCATAGAATTTTAAAAGAATTTTCCAATTTAACTATATCAAATTATTTTCCTTGAGAGAAGGAGGAGAGAGAAAGTGGGAAGGAGGAATAGGAGTAAGACGTAGAAGAGAACAGGATGAAATTGTCCCTTTCCTAAGACAAATTTTGACAATAAGCAGAGGAGACCATAGGCTGAAAAATTTGACTATGTATGATCAAAGTTCAGAGGAAGTTCTTGTAAAGTAAGCTGAAGATTGGAGGACACGTGAAACATGGAAAAAACAGGACTGTATAGGACTGTAACCAACCTTTGCTATAGGTGAAGTGGCATGAAGCTCACACAAAAACATTGTGAAGCTGGTCAAATTGGTAATACTGGGGTTTAAAACTCAAGGTCTTTGATCCATTTGGAGTGGATTCTGGTTCAGGGTGATATATAAGGATTTAAATTCAGTTTGCATGTTTCTACACATGTGTAACCAATTCTGACAGTATCATTTGTTGAAGAGACTGTCATTCTTCCAACCTTTGTTTTTGGCTACCTTACCAAAGATTAGGTGGCCATGGGTCTCTGAGTTCCTTTCTGGGTCTTCAATTTTATTCCATTGTTCTACAAGCCTGTTCATGTGCCAGTACCAATCTGTTTTTTAAGTACAGCTTTATAATAGAGTTTGAAATATTGCTATTCCTGCAGCAGTGTTCCTCCTGCTAAAATTGCTTTAGCTATTCAGGTTTTCTATTATTCCACATGAATTTTTGGATGGCTTCTTCTTGTTGATTGAAAAATGTTGTTGGGATTTTGATGGGTATTGCATTGAATTTTAGATCTTGGAATTATTGCCATTTTCACATGTTTATCCTCCCAATCCTTTATTATGAAGAGAGTGGAGAGATCAGACCACCATGTCACAAACTTTAGAGGACATAGTTTTAACTGTTCACCATTTAGTATAATGCTGACTGTAGGTTTGTTCTATATAGCCTTTATTATATTGAGGAATGTTCCATGAGTTCCTAGTTTCTCCAAAGCTTCCCCGATTAAGACCATCCACAAGTTTTATGGTTCATTTTCAACATAGTGTCCATGAGTACCATTGCTGCATTTGTTCACCTTTTGTGCCTACATTTCTGTGACTCGCCTTACCCTCCAAAGATATATGAACTAACGAACAAACAAGACAAGAAAAGAAACACTGTAATAAAGAAAATATGTCTTATTTCCATGTTTTTGAGTTCCTTTTTATAAATGTTATTTTGTATGGTCAGAAATAAGGATACAGTACAACCCATTGTAACAATGAGATGTACAATACACTATGTTGAAAATGAACTTTACAACTTTGCTTGGGAGGTGGGTGGGAGATGTTGGAGAGGTGGGTAGGTAAAGGGATGGTAGAGGAAAAAATAACAGGTAATTCTGGATAGGAAATGAGCTCATTACAATACTGGATAGGAAATGAGCCCATTACCTTGCACATGTAACTGTAATCCCTCTGTACAATATCTTTACAATAAAAATTATATGTTTCAAGTAAAAATAAGTACACAGGCATCATATCTTTCTGTTTCTCTTTTAAGAATATCTTCCTTTAATCTCACTTTGTGTACATGCCTAGAGACCTATATTTTAGATATAGTTTCCCCACATGAAAGGAAACATGCACTACTTCTCTCTCTGAGCTTGGTATAGCACACAACAGGATTTATCCTAGTTCCATCCATTTCAAGGCATATGATATAATTTTATTTTTTCTAATGATTATGTACAATTCCTTTTTGAATAGGTAACACATTTCAACTGTTCATCTATTGTAGCGCAACTCTGCTTTTTCCTCAAGTTGGGTATTTTGAATAGTATGGCAATGAACATGGATGTGCAAGTGTCTATATGGTATCCTGGCTTGTGAGGTTCATGGCAGATGCAGAGTGGTATGGCTGGGTTTCAAGGAAGATCTATGTTTCATTTTGTGAGGAACCTCCAGCGTGTTCCAGAATGGTTATGTAGTTCATATTCCCACAAACAGTGCAATAAGATTCCTTTTCCTTCACATCCCTGCCAACATTTGTTATTTGAATTCACAAGTTGGCCAATCTTACTGGAGTGAGATGGAATCTATGAGGTGGTTTTATTTTTCATTTCCTCTATGAACAGGTATGAAGAGCATTTCCTTATGTGTTCCTTTGCCATTCTTACCTCATCTTCTAAGTCATCTATCCTTACCTCTTTGCCCATTAACTAACTGTTTTACTAGTTTTGGGATGGAGTAGTTTCTTAACTTCATTGGATAATTTGGGTATTAGGCTTTGTCTGATGTATTGCTGGTAAAGATCTTCTCATAGTCTGTTGGCTATCTTTCTAGTTTATTAATCATGTCCTTTGCTGTGCAGAAACTTTTTAGTCTAATGCAATCCCATTTGTCGTTTCTCTCCAATCTGGTATGCCTTTGAAACTCTATCCTAAAACTTTCTGCCGATGTCAATGAATTCTAGTGTTTCTCCTACTCTCTCTTGTAGTAATTTTAAAGTTTCAGGTCTAATGATGAGGTCTTTGATTTTCTATGAGTTGATATTTGTACATGGTGACAAACAAGGATTGATTTTTAGTTTCCTGCATATGACTGCTCAGTTTTCTCAAAATCATTTATTGAAGAAGCTATCATTTTTCCAAGGTATACTTTAACTTCAAATCAAACCATATCAAAAAGATGGTTTTATTTCTAGGTCTTATAGTCTGTTCTGTTAATTTTTGGGATTATTTTTGTGCCAGTTCCAAGATTTTCTGTAGTACAGCTCACAGTAGAGCTTGAGTCTTGAGATTGAGATTATATCAGCATTCCTTTTTTTGCTTAGAATTGTTTGGCTCTTTATTCTATCTCGAAATCCTAATTCTTAATCCTCAGGTGACTGAGATTTGAGGATCATGGCTCTAAGCTAGCCCAGGCAAGAAAGTCCATGAAATTTTTATGTCCAATTAATCAACAAAAATGCTAGTTGTGCAGCTGTGGCTCAAGTAGTATTACACTAGTTTTGAACACAAAAACACAGGGACCTTGCCCAGGTCTTGAGGTCAAGTACCATCACTAGAATGCACAAACATACACACACACACACAAACAATCACCAAAAGTATGGAAGTTATTAATTCTATTAATTTTATTTCATCTTTTTTAGGCAAAATTATGAAAGTGTTAGAAATTATTTGAAATATATTAAAACTGCTTTTCTGAGATCAAGTCTAGCTATAAAAAACTGAGTGTTAGGAAATGTACTTGCATGAGGGTTTGAGATCAGGAGGAAAGAGGTAGAAGAATAAATAGAGGAAATGAGTAGAATGCAGTTAAGAATGGAGTGCATATGCCACAGAACTGAGAAAAACAAGGGAGAGGGCTAGTCGAAGGGGGGCAGACATATCTCAAAATGCATTGTATGTATGAATAGTTTTGTTGTAACGACAAAACTTTCTAAACATAATTTAAACATTAACAAACATGGGCTAAGAAGATTGCTGAGTGGTAAAGTGCTTGCCTTACATGCATGAGGCCCTGGATTTGATTTCTCAGCTCCACATAA